TTTTTTACAGATTTGTAATGTCAGTCTGATTTGAAATCCCTGTTTTCCTTCCTCTGCAGTAAATAAGATGATACAGGAGCACGGTGACCTGTTTTCTGACACCCAGTGCAAAGTGTGCAGCGCTGCCCTCATTTCTGAATCTCAGAAATTGACTCATTATCAGGTCAGTTCACCAAACTTCCCCCAGTGCTTCAGGATATGTTCATATGAATCAGTCTTTGTCACATTTATGGYTCAAAACTGCAAGAGTGTTGGCAGTGAGGCTGAGCTGAGCTCCATTTTATGAAGAAATGTAGCTTTAATAGCATAATTTGACAAAATAAACATTTTGCAGATTCATCAAATATGTTTTAACATACACACTGATGTTTCCTGATATTTGTGTTTGTTTTTTCTGAATATTTTGTACTTTCAGAGCAAGAAACATGCCAACAAGGTGCGGCGTTACTTTTCCCTTCAGGATGAAAAAGAGGTGACGGTGAAGAAGCAGAAGATGTCTGACAGTGTGAGTTAATTACGAATGTCTCTAAAACACTAAGAACTGGAAAAACCTTTTGTTCAGACAAAAACATTATTCTTTACTTTACWAACAGTGATTTGAAATGAAAAGAAAATGCTCTGGTTGTGACTGGTTGTCTTTAACATGTGAATGTTGATCTGTCACCACCTGTTCTTCATTTACACAAACATCTCTTTACTTGATTGTTTGTCTGAGGAATCTGTCAGGTTTTTAATCGACTGTGGTTAAATTTGACGCAACCCAAGTTCCTCAAATGCATCTCGACTGTTTTTTTTAAATTTATTTATTTTTTATTTAATCTGTTGGGTTATTTGTGAGTTTGTAGCAATTCCAAATAATTAGCAGATGTGAGGAGATACTGGATATTAGGGCTGCAACTAACGATTATTTTAATAATCGATTATTTTTTCGATTAATCGGCCAAATCATTAAAATGCTTAATTACATGAATATGAGTAGATATAAATTAAGTTAACTCATTAAGGATGCAAGTTATTGATAATGAATCAGTCTGAAGTTGATTTATTTCATAGATTAACAATTAATTAATAAGCAGCCATTTTTAAAAAAAAATCAAGAGGGTCTTCCCATAAAATGAAGGATTTTTTTTATAATCTCTTGAATTAAAAAACAGAAGCACATAATACATA